GAAAAGTAATGGTAAGTTAGAAAGAATCCGTTGGATTTCTGCTATATGATTGCTTTGTATTGAACTATTTCGTAGCAGTTCTCAGTGATAGTCAAGAAAAATATTTCCAAAAATCTCTGACATCATTCAAAAACTTCGCTTTATCACATCGCCACTTTAAATATCCCTTTACACTTACAAATGCAGTTCGCTAAATGGAAAAAGTTCTCAGAAGTCTTAATTATTTATCTATTTATCTTTGCTGATATAAAGTCAATGCGCTAAATACTGTCATATTCCAAAAACATATACAGCAAGTGGTTTTCTCAAACCTTGGTTTTTTCTCTCAGTGGTTTACTGCTTCATCGTGTGTGATAGCGTTTTCATATGTTGGACATTGATGTGATAAACAGCTGAGGGTTTCCACGCCGCTTTCCCCTATCAAGATCTCTGAAGCTGAGAGGGAGCCTCTACGTTTTGATCGGGAAACCAGCCTAGTGAACTAATGCCAAGGATTACCATCGCTTTTGTATGAACTAGTCACGAGGTGGTAAGTCTCTATTAGAAGCACGAATGCCGGTAATTGTTCGTGGTGATGTCGATCTGAGGAAGACATAGTATGTGTTGACCCCAAGACTAGGTAATCACGTTAATTAGATGAATCCCACTATGGCACATATTGGATGTTCTCGTTTACAAAACTGATCGACAAGTCAGACGACGGAGGCGATCAAATCTCACGATGCACAGAATACTATTGAAAGAAGAACGAAACGAGCACGCCAACTATGTTTTGGTTCTGGCACATGCAGTAAGCCTCTTTAGATGCCGCTGTCTTTCCGCTTCTTGGGAGCATTGATGGCAAAATACTTCACGTAATCGCCGAACAAGGCACGAGAAGTGGAAGGATTGATATACTCTTATTGGTTGACAGGTTAGCAATATTCATAAGGTGGAAATTTTGTTACGTAGAGCAGAATGCACTGGCTTCGTCGCTCGACCATCTATATCGCATCTAATAATAGAGCACAGAATCTTATAATCGTGCCTGGCCAGTCTTTGTTTCTTCGCTTCAAAGTCAATGTCACCAGTTGCTATTTACCAACTGTACAGCAAATCAATGAGGCACGTTTTACAACAAACAAGAGGAAGTCGTTCGCAGCAAATAGTTCTTCGACAATTTACTTGTTGAAGACTTCAACGGCAAATTATAAAGGACCAGTGAAATTGGATAGAGATGGAAAAGTCTGGAATAGAAAAATCAAACGAGAATTTTTCTGAGGATTCTTGTTCAAGAAAAGAGGAACTTTACCGATGGACATGAGAGTGTTCAAAGGGAAGAAATCATTCGATGATCGCACATAGTCTCACACAGAAGACAGCGCCTTTTTGATGCCTCAATAAAGCATGGATGCCGTAGTGGACTTGATCACTGTCTTTACGTACAAAGATTCGAATAAAAGTAGCTGGACAAGAAGTACTACCATCGTGAAAGAAGAAAAAAAATGTGGTAAAGAGGATGTTCTTAATGAAACCTTGTATACATATTACTAGCAGATAGAGGAAAACCCGATCGAAAACTACAAGTTGCTTGTCGAAGGATAAAAACTAGACCGAATTAGCCTCTAATCGTCGCGAACCCTGAAGATCTTGGTGGAATAAAACTGCTCGGCAACATCATAGCAAAAAACCTCTAAAATTCGAGTTCTGATAAAATTTAAGAAGGCAGGTATAGCTGCAGGACCCAGAAAAATACTGCCATTTCCTGAGGTGGCGACCGCAAATACGTGTACTTCCAGCAACCCGAGTATATCTACCTAGAAAAAATTCATACTCACGAGCACTAAACAATATTTATCTAAATCACAGAACAAAATCACATCTTTTCCATCGAGTCTTTATCATGCTCATAGGAAAACTTGTTCAACAAGACGGCACAATATCGTCAACGTATTTGATTGAAGCAATAAAGGAGTATGAATTGCTGGGAAATTCCTATCAAACCGTCGTTTTACAGGTGACATCGCCGCCTTTTCGAAGAATACCACTGAAGCAAAGGCGATGCTCAGTGAAGCGAGAAGAAGATCGGAACACAAATTGAAAGGCGATCCAGTGTACGAAAAACCTATGGCACAACGATGAGCAATTTGAAACAAATGGGTTCCTTGTTACAAAGGCCACCTCAAGTGCTTGCCTCGGGCATTTATTGAGCAAGAAAACAATGTGAAAATTGATGAAAAATAAGAGTAGAGCAGCATGGGCTGCAGTTGGGTCTTGTTAAAGACGTGGACTGATAGTCACGCCAGAAATCTCCGCATCACCCACAAGGCACGTGAAAAGGGTCTTCTTTAAAATTACTGTGTACTTGTAACTTTCTACCGATTTGTGCAGTCTCATTTATAAGGCCTAGCTCATGTTCGAACTTAAAAAAGCGCGTGTCGATAGCAAAACGCACATGGGCCGGTCACCTAGTAAGAAAAAAGATGACGATTGGATGAAAGCAATATGACGATCGGATGAAAGCAACACTCAGGTGGACTCCAAGAGAATGCATGCTTACCTTTAGACTACTACTTGAGGATGCAAAGATGTTTCGCCAATCGACGACGATCTTTATTCGCAGATGAGACCGTGATTGAGATTACAGATTAGGCCTTTTGGCCGTTGTCTTTTCAAAGCAGGCAACTACCGTGGGCGATAGTTGCGCGAGAAAGGTGCAAATGAAAGCTGAGGCCTACACTATCATTGAAGGCCTGTTATCTAGATGTTTAAGTAGGTAAAAAGGTCTCAATGCCCTTAGTAGCTTGCACTACTTTCCAAAATTCCATACATCATATAATTCTAATAAATCCATTTTTGCAATGGTAATCCATTAGGAAATCCGAATGAGATAGGAATGATAAGACACAACAGAGGACAAATTTTATGTTAACGATTGATTGAGGTGCAGATTTTTCGCCCAATCATCGATTGATTTTTTCAGAAGAAGTTATCAGTTTCTTCCGCACGCAAGACAACACTGCACAGCGCCGCTAATGGACATGATCGAGTCTACTTTGTCATCGCCACGAAGAGAGCTGATGTGCCCAAAGAGGACCTCGCTGATGAGAGAGAACTCCAATCACAAATATAATGTGTGGCTTAATAAATGTTGGCCAACTGATATTGTAATGCATAATCATATTGGTGATGACCATGAGATGTCGCTATTTGTAATATCAATTTTCTTTATGGCCTGTAATTTCTTCTGCATCACAGACTATTGCTGATCCAATCGTTTTGCACTGCGTTCTTGGATTTAGTCTACTCTTTCCTTTTTGGTGACTTTTTTGGCTCTGATAAATCATCTGCCAAGTAAAGTTCGCGAAACTAGCTCAGGCACACTCTTTCACTCAACTCTTGCTATTATAGCTTCAAAAAATCTGCAGAGAATTGATCCTTCTTGCATACACCTTGATGGTATAAATGATGGTATAAATAGAAGAGGACACTCATCAAAAGAAGTTGTGCGGACTCAAAAGTCTTTGACGTACTGTTCTCCTTCCAAAATTATCTGCTTGTCGTCACATTAAAATAAGTTGTACTGGTGGAAACTGAGCGAGGTGCAAGAAACTGTTTTGAGGATTTTCTGAACTAAGAGGAATTAGGTATAGTCCGTAAAGCGAGTTTGCTTGACCACTGTTAAAGGTTGCAGCGACGAATAATGTTTATGGTATAGTGTAAGCAGATATATAAAAAGTTATCGACCTAAACGCATAAAACAAGGTCTCTCCCACGAATCTGTTGAAGTCTCAACATCGAAAGCACAATAATGATAAAAGTAGCTGCGATGTTTTTGGCAAACTATCCATTGATTTCTAATATTCGAGCACATTGATGACCTCTGTGCAACATATGGAATAAGAGTATAAGCAAACTAAAAGGTTCATGTTGCAATATTTCATTTCAGTATAACAAAAGATAACATAATTAATTATATGTCTATCTATTCATTTGCGCCGGTCTATAGAGAATTGTTGCTAACACACGAATTAGATGATAATTATGATTAAAATCTAAATAATTATATGCAAACCGGCATTAAAATGGTCGATAGCATTCGCGAAAGAACCATTTTGTGAGTATTTAGTATGCCTGATGTAAAATGTGCGATTTCAAGAAGGCGTTTTTTCTACTATAATAGCCTTATTGAGGTATTTTCTGCCTTATTTTATCATTGATCGGCAATAAATCTCCATTTATTGGCGTTAGAAGTCTATGTTTCATTAGATAGCTACCACATTTTCATTAAAGGGCGCTTCTCGCGCGATTGCCTCGTGCGAAACTAATGTCGTAATGTAGGGAATAGGTTTCAACAAATATCATATCTCACAACTAGGTCCATGAAATTTTCGGATGGCAGTTTTGGTGACGGATACTTCAGACGGCTATGAATAATGGCTGACTAGACACACTCCAATGGCAATGTGGTACTTTTCTGATGAAATTTAGATTACTATCGCTATTGTAAACGATTACAACGTCAGTAAATAGTGTTATGGCAGAGGAGACTTCATTAAGACTATTTGTGATTGAAACATGCCATAACACGTAGAAAAGAATGGAATGTTTGCCAAGAATGGTATTACGTATTCCAGTGCGACGTGATTTCATCGATAGTTTGAACAATTTTTCATTATTAGTGTTATAGCAGTTCTTAAGCAAAATAACTGCTATTTCTTCTTATCTCTTATGCTGTTGACTATCGATGTATCTACTTACAGATAGTCACTATGATTGTTTGTTGCGCAGTGAGTCATATAACCTGTGTCGAGTTTCTCATCCCAACTGGCCATGCATTCGCGCATCAGTAGCCAGTTTATGCTCCAAACACCTGTCGTCTGGGTGTCCGCGTAACACAAAGACTCATGTCACTCAGTTCGCAACAGAGATGTTTCCTTTAGAAATTGGGCAGTGTTGTGCTAAACAGCTATTCACAATTCAAACTGAAACAGAATCTTGGGAAAGAGTCACGCCCACAGGTATTGGTGGCTCAGTGGTGAAATCCTCGCCTGCCACGCGGGCGACCCCGGATCAATTCCCGGCCAGTGCACCCTATGAATTAGTTTATCAGTGGAGATTGCTTAGGATTGGTTTAGTTTTATTGGTGATTGTACTAGAGTAGTTAGGTTTTGTTACCTATTGTGAGTGGGTGTAATGTGTGCCGTAAGGGCCAGTCGATTGTCTTAATTACTCCTGTCACAAGGGTCTTTTACTATTTGTTGGATGGAGGACAGTGTTGACCCTGAGACAAATGAACCACATTAATCGCTGTAACGAACAGCTATAACAAATAACAATTACAGCATATCTGCAATAGAGGAAACATCAATCAAGACACGTAACGCAATGTTAACAGTACATAATGATGCATTAGATGTGAGATTAGGGGCATGCCCCGAACCCCAAATCTTAAGATGAATGAGAGGTGCTAAAGATTGTAAGGAGCATTAGCTATTCACATAAGCATTATACAGCGAAATGAACTACAGTACGCCATGACCAGGATAATCTAGAGCCAAGAGAGGTGGAAGTTGCAGCCGAGCTCCAACTAGCGTCTACAGACGAATAGAGCTGCTGTGGGCGTGACTTCTCAAAATTCAGTTTCGGTTTAAACTGTGAATAGCTGTTTAGCACAACACTGCCCAAATTCTATGGGAAACACCTGTTGGTTGCCAACTTAGTGACACGAGTCTTTGTGTTGCGCGGACACACGGCAGGCAGTTGTTTGAAACATAAACTGGCCATTGATACGCGAATGCATCGGCCAGTTGGTGTGAAAAACTCGACCCGGTCATATGACTCACTCGTAACGAACAACCATAGTGATTATCTGTAAGTAGACACAAGATAGTCAACAGCATAAGAGATAAGAAAAAATAGCAGTTGTTTCGCTTAAGAACTGCTACACAAAGTCTGTCAAGAGAATCATAGAGGTGATCAAATATATATTTACCCTATACAGCGAGTTGACACTTTCTTTCCAAAGTAAGTGTTTTTATCTTCTTAAGAGGACTGAGTGGTACGCAGAAACGCTACCTCAGCCATGAGTCGAGTCCGCGTTCTACCCTTACCGTGCGTTATAGTTTTCATATTCATCATATTCTTATACAACACGATCGCCTCTTTTTGAATGTATAACCTATATCTACTTGAGAATGGTTGCTAGCAATTCCGATACTCCATATCGAAGAAAGATTAGTTGGAAAGCGATGCCGTTGTGGTGTAGTGGTAGCATGTGCAGAACTCAAAAGTGAAATGCGCGTTTGATTTCTGCTGAGGCCAGATTTCTTGTACCACCCAATCTTTTTAGAAATGTTTTAACACCATGCCACTGCTAGAGAGTAGCGAAAATAAAGAAATGTGGATTAAACAGATATCTTTTCTGTTCTCCAGAACAAGTGTGATTTTCTAATTGTGAGAACAGCAAGGTGAGAGACTTAATCAGATCAAACGCATAACACCTATGGCCACTGGCAAGCTACTCGTGAGTACCCAGCCCCCCCCCCCATTAGAGCCTAGCAAGCTGTACGTTGGGTATCAAAAGCTAATGAGAGCAATGAATATGGGTCTCATTTCCCTGGCCCTGAAAGAGCCCCGGTACGGCAGCGCCAGGTAAGACGAGTACGGAGAGGCAGCTAAAATCTCAGGGTCGAACTAGGCTGCCAAAATCGGAACAGACTAAAATGACAATCTGTACCTATAATGCAAGAACACTTGCTCACGAATCCGTTAGAGAGGATCTATTGATTCAAGCAAGAAGAACAAGGTACGACGTGACTGGCCTGGCTGAGACGCGAAGATGCCATTCTTTTCACGCTGTTTATGACACCGGAGAAGAACTGTTTCCTGGAACATGCGATCGCAGAGGTATCGGCGGTGTTGGCGTCTTCATTGAATCGAATTTGACCGTGAACATTGATTCATTTGAACAACTAACAGCCCGTATCGGACAATTTCTATTGAGACGATGTGGTTCGATGCCGGCTTTGACCATCTTCGTTGCTTATGCACCAGCATCAAGCTATAACGAAGATGAAGTTGAAGCGCCTTATATGGACCTCGAAAAACTCCTCGGAAGAGCCATAAATTCTTCAAAGTCATTGTTGGTGATTTTAACGCGAAAGTTAGATCCAGAACAACGTCTGCAGAGCGTCACATTGGGACCCACGGACTAGAATGGAATGAGCAAGATGAGAAGCTTTCTGAGTTTATCATGACAACCCGAACTATCTATGGTAACTCACAATTCCAAAAGTCTCTTTCTCAGCGATGGACGTGGGAGCTTCCCAATGGGGAGTACCATAACGAAATAGACCACATCTTAGTTAATCGAAAATTCTGCGTGGCCGATGTCGCTGCTTTTTCTATGTTCTACTCGGAATCAGACCATCTCCTCTTTCGCTCAATGTTTCGTTTTTCGCGAAAAGGAGACAAAGCTGCTAAATTCAAACATTGAAGTCCTAAAGCTACCATAAGCTGGGATGTAATTGAATTATTAGTCGGCTTTGAGAAGATACCGTTGTCGACAACAGTGACGAAGAATACGGCCGGCTCGCAGAATATCTTCACCTTAAGCGCCAAGAAAGCTGAGTCAAAGAGAGACAAGCAGCAGTTTTGGCAGTTGCTGTAGAAGCCGGCAAGAGCATCCGAAAGGCTCAGCAAAGCTTCCCCAGTTACATAACCAAGGTGATGCACTCCGACGCCCTGACGGGACACTTACATCTTCTAGAAAGTGAATGGACAAAGTCGTCCACCACTACTACTTGGATCTCTTCGCTAGCCATGTCCTCTTAAAGTCATATAAATCAGAAGAGGACAAATCTGTCGTTCCACAGGTCCTCCCTTTTGAAATCTGCCAAACTGTATCGTCGGTAAAGAACAGAACAACACCCGGACCAGACAGGATTAGACCAGAACACCTGAAGAACCTACGGTCAGTTCTCATCAACACCCTGGCTCTGCTCTTCACTCGCTATTCTGTCAGAATGCAAGGTTCCGATTCAATGGAAAACCAGCGAGACCGTGTTGCTGTTCAAAAAGGGAGACCTTTTACGACATGAGCAATTATCGCTCAATCTTCTTACTGTCCGTTGTCTATAAACACTTTACTCGAGTCATCCTAAACAGGATCGACAGAACACTGGACGAAGGACAGTCATGCAAACAAGAAGGGTTCCGAAAAGGGTCTAGTACCATAGACCACATCCACACGATCACAAGACTCATTGAAGTTTCATGAGAGTACAAGCGACCACTCTGTCTCACTATCATCGATCTGAAGAATGCCTTTGATCCAGTGGAAACATAAGCGTTTATAGAGGCTGTGGACAATCAGGGCTCCCCTACTTGGTGCTTAACGATCCTTCATGAGCTATATAAAGGTTTCACGACGAAATTATCGCTTTCCCACAACAATATCACCATTGACGTGAGAAAAGGGGCTCGATAAGGCGACACAATCTCGCCGAAATTATTCACTGCCACCCTCTAAAATGCCTCGCGAACATCACAATATGGGAGTGATATCGAAGGTCGACAATTAAATCATCTTCACCTTGCTGATGATATCGGTTTCACAACACAAATCATCAGCCAAGCAGAGCGAATGTTGACCAATTTCGACAACGCTTGTGGAAAGATTGGTCTGCAACTAAATCTAACATAAACGATGTTCATGGGAAACGGATGGGTTTCCAATGCCCCGTTTACGCCCAACGTAACGAATATTTCCGAATGCTGCAGTTACGTCTATCTAGGTCGTAAAATCACCCCGATGAACGGCCTAACTCCAGTGTTGAACTGGAGGAGGAGAGCGGCTTGGGGAACGTTTGAGAGCATTGAGGATGTAATGAAGAGGACGAAGAACATTCGACTTCATCCCCACCTTTTCGACTCAACGACTATCACTGCCCTAACGTATGTAGCAGAAACCTTGCTGCTACGTGAGCGGGATGAAAGATCAATTGGTGTTATTGAACGCGCAATCGATAGGTCGACGCTAGGAGTGTCCCGTATCTCGCAAATGTGAGAAAGGATCCGAAGTTTCGACCTACGTCAGCGAGCGAAGATTAAAGACGCCGTTCTATATTCCAGGATATGGAAAATAAGGTGTGATGGACACGTGATGCGCTTCAACGATGACCGATGGACGAGAGCCGTTACCGAGTGGATTCCTCGAGATATCAACCGCCCTACGGGAGGACCACCGACCCGATGGGTCCTGTTTCTTTAAGACGAGCACAGAAGAAGGATTAGATGCTCAGCGAGTCTTTAGAGCGAGGAGAACCCACTGGGCTATTCTTGCACGCGACAGGGAAAGATGGAGGTGCTGCTGGTGCCCTCTCGGGTCACTCGAGAATCAACGGGGCAACAGGTGATACAGGCGACAGGTGATGATGAGCTTGTGTACTTTATGCAATAAAGTATATGAAAACTGAAAACAGCAGAAGATAAATTATATATATGTTCGACAAAAGTTGTGAACGTAATCTTTCCATAAATACTTGATTTTTCCTCTTGAAGTGGAAATTATAGATGGAGGAAATACGTTATTTCGAATAGAGATAACCTTAACGAAGTCCGAAGTTAATATTATATTTGACAATTTACTGATACAGAAATCTCATTTTTTGTCGAAAAAAGTATAGATCTCATTAAAAAACTTTCACACTAGAATTGATACACGCCACGGCAGCTTTTCTTCATGGCCGTTCGAAAGAAACGCCCGCCGAAAATGACGCCGTCGGCAAAGGGATGTGATTGCTCTAGGCTTCCAGAAACCTCGATTGAAGGACAATTCACTTGATCACCCGCTTCGATCCAGTTTCACTGCCGTTATATCTTCAAACCATCATTTGAGTTATGTCCGAGGCTTTCTTCTTCTTCTCTATTGTTCTTCAGTTCTGAAAGGCTTTCTTAGTGGATTCTGCTAATTATAATGAGTAGAATTCAGAGCGTTCGTCGGATATGTAGGGATATGGAACCAAATGCTTATCTCAGCATGGTTTCCGTAAAAAAAAGCAGAAAAAATAAAGCAGATGTGGGTAGCTT